GCACACAAATATACATGCAAGCAAGACATTCATACACGTAAAATATAAGTAAATGAATCTTTTTAATATAAATAAATAAAATGCTTATAAATAAAATGTTTGGGACATGTTTCACTCACTCATAAGTAAGGGATCTTTGTTCTTTGTTGTGTTTCTTTAGCCAGAAACAAAATAAGTATAAATCCAAACAAGAAGATTACAGGAAAATAACTTTCGTGTTGTAGGAAAACATTACTTAATATCAAAAATGCAGTGGGTAGGAGAAGCTCAATCAGTAAGGTCCTGTAACAAAGACATAAGGACCTGAATTCAGATCTGCAGAGCATAAGTAAAAGTGCAACAGCATACACTGTAATTCCAGAGCTGTGGAGCAGAGACAGGAGGAGAGGATCCCACAGCAGTGAGCTCCAGGGTCAGTGATAAACCCCACTGAAAAACTAAGGTGGAAGCCAGGCAGTGGTGGTGCATGCCTTTAATCCCAGAACTCAGGAGGCAGGATCTCTGTGAGTTCGAGGCCAGTCTGGTCTACAGAGTGAGTTACAGTATAGCCAAGACTGTTACACAGAGAAACCCTGTCTCAAAAAAAAATTTAAAAAATTAATAATAAGATGGAAAGGGGCCAGTGAGATTGTTCAACATGTAAGAATCCTTGCTTCTAGTAGCATGATATCACGTACATACATGTGCTTGCACCCACCTTCCTCCCACCCCTCTCTCTCTCTCTTTCTCAAGAATTACCTTAAAAGGTGGAGAGCAATTGAGGGAGATACCTAAGTCAACCCTCTGGGATCCACATGCATGACTACCAACACACATACACACACACACACACACACACACACACACACACACACACACACACACACTCACACACACACAAGTTCATTAAGATTAACTAAATGATTACATTTGAGATTTTGTATAGGCATAGTTTTTATAAAACAAGGCAAATGAAATCACTTATAAAGTTTTGACCTCTCCATAGCATATAAAAATAAGCAAATTACATTCTTAAAAATAAAACTATAGTTAGCAATCAATGATTTAGTATTACATCTTACATAGAAATTATCTAAGTATCTGACAATTGTTTACTAGTTAAGTTACTATCAGTTGAGATTTTTAGCTTTTTTAGTAACCTTGAAAAATTACTTTCAAACTGACATAATTCCCTCTTTCCTCAACATTTTGTGTGCCTGAATCCCTCTTGTCCTACAAGGCTTAGTTAGTACCTCACCACCCCTTCTATAATGGCCTTTCCTAATTCTCTAGCCCACCTTCCTAGTCTCTTGCACAGTACCTGGTTGTTCCATTGTAGCATACACCACAAATGGCATTTATTTTGTTAATCTACTTGTGAAGGATTGTTTTCATCTAGTAAAAATATATAATACAGTTTCCTTGTTTCAAGGCCATGTCTGGCCATTATATCCTCAGCCCACAGAATTCTTGATACTTAATAAGCATTTGGAAACGTTTGCTGAAGCTAAGTATAGTAGCAGTTGCCTGTAATTCCACCACTGGGGAGGCTGAGGCAGGATCTTGAATTCAAAGCCAACCTGGGCTGCCTAAATAGATAACAGGACCTTGTCTCAAAAAAAAAAATCACAAATAGCCCAGTATGTTGTTGAAGCAGGAGTGTGGCACAAAAGACCAGACACCAAGCATAAAAGAGTCACTGAGAAGCTAATGGAGCAAAGCAACTTCTTCATAATGCTTAAGACACCAAGGTTTAGTTAGGCATGGTGGTGCACACCTTTAACCCAGCCCTTGGGAAGCAAAGGCAGGCACATCTCTGAGTTTCAGGTGAGCCTGGTCTATATAGCAAGTTCCATAACCACCAGGGCTTCATGGTGAGACCCAGTCTCAAAAAAGAAGGGAGGGAGGGAAGGAAGGAAGGAAGGAAGGAAGGAAGGAAGGAAGGAAGGAAGGAAGGAAGGGAGGAAGGAAGGAAGGAAGGAAAGAAGGAAAGAAGGAAAGAAAAGCATTCAAAGTTTTCCCTGGAGGAGGGTATCTGGAAAATATCTCAGACTTTAGTTTAAAACCCTGAAGAGGGCAGTGCTCTAGAAACAAGAACAAAACATCAGCTTTTAGAGGAACTAAAACCCAGTATAAAATTATTTCAGTCCCTGGATAAGCAGAATAATCTAATTTACTTCAACTGGTTGCTAAAAGAAATCTTTTCTGGAGGAATATATCATTATCCAGAGCTTTCTAGCAAAATGACTTAAAATCGAAGAGAAGAAAATTTTATAAAAGAGGCATACAAGTGGTACTGATGCTTATATTGTCTCACATGACTCTATAAAGCTGTTACCTATTTATGAAAAAATAACAAAAATGAGAACTTTAGAAATTGAAGTCCATAAAAGAGTTTAGGAAAACAATAGAAAATGTGGAAGAGGGTGAAATAAATATGATAAAGAGTCTTGGCATTTATAAGTAAAGTTCAAGAAGAGAAGGTGAGCATAAACTATATTTTAGAGAGATTGCAGAAGTGTGTGTGTGCTTGTGTGTGTGCACGCTTGCACTCTGTCTTTCTTGTTGGTTTGTTTTTAGGTAAGGTATCTCACTGAACCTGGAGCTTACCAGTTTAACTAGGTTGACTGGCCAGCAAGCTCCAAGGATCTGCCTGCCTCCCCAGAGCTAGAATTAGAAGCATGTACCACTAAGCCTGGCTTTCTAGGTGGGTACTGGAAGACACAAAGTCAGTTCCTCCAGTGTGCATAGCAGCCAATTCACTGCCTAAACCATCTCCCCAGCCTTGACAGAGGTGTTTCAAAACTAGTCAAAAAACAAGCCAGAGATTTCCAGGAGCTCTGCTAATCAAAAGTAGGATAACTACAAAGAAACCACACCTGGGTAATTCTGGCAAAACTACTAAACCAGTGATAATGAGCAATATCACCAGAGCACTTTACCTCAAAAGTAAAGATAAAACTAACAGGAATTATTTAAACATCAATGATAGAACCCAGAAAAAAATAAAATAGCATAGCATTTCCAAAGTTCGAAAGAATGTACTGCCAACAGAGAACTTAAATCCAGAAACCTTTGAAAATGAAGGTAAAGGAGAGAGATGCCTAGTTGGTCCGTGTTTACCATGTAGATATGAAGACTAAGGAGACAAAGGAGTGTAAAAGAGTGTTAGAAGATACAGGACTCTTGGATATGTTAATTAATAAAAATCAAGGTTTTATCCTAAAAACCAAGAATATGCTGAATTATTAGTAAGTGAGTTGGAACTGGGTGGTGGTGACCCACACCTGTAATCTCAGCACTCAGAAGGCAGAAGTGGATCTCTGAGTTCAAGACCAGCCTGGTCTACAGAGCAAGTTTTAGGACAGCCAGGGCTACACAGAGAAACCCTGTCTCAAGACACCACCCCCTAAAAAAAGGGGGGGGGAAGACAGAAAGTGAGTTGGTCTGACACATCTCAAAGGATCTCACTCTTGCAGGGATGAGTGTAGGACATCGATGGAGTATGGTCGACCTACCAGGATTCAGCTCATTCAGCTTCCCCCAGAAACCATCAGTTGTCTATAGTTTCTCAGTTAGGGGTGGGATCATGAATCCACCCCCACTCTGTGACAGACTGTTGATTGGCTTGATCTTAAGAGCGCAAGTCCTATGCAAGCTGCCACAACTCCTGTGAGTTCATGAGTACGTTGGTCCTGTCATGTGCAGAAGACACTGTATCACTCTGTCCTTCCTAAACTCTGGCTCTTACAGTCTTTCTGCCCCCACTTCTGCAATGGTCCCTGAGCCTTAGGAAGGGGGTGTGATATAGATGGTCCATCTGTTGCTGGGCATTGCATTGACAATCCTTCTGTGCACTTTGACCAGTATTGAGTTCCTGTGTTAACTAGTGTTCACTGCACAAAGAAACTCTTCTAATCTGTGGGTAATATGAAGTTAGAGGACAGTTTTATACTATATTCACTTAGCAGAATGATAATAGTAGGTTCACCATGGGGCCTGTAAGCTCCCAACCATAAGTTGTTAACCAGATTTATAGTACCAGGAATGTGTTTCCTCCAGTGAGACATGGCTTAAATCTAATCAGAAAGTGGTTGGTTAGTACCTCTGTTGTCACCATGGGCGTATCTTGCCACACCAAACATAACTTGTTTTGTTTTGTTTGTCTTTCGAGACAAGGTTTCTCTGTGTAGCCTTGGAGCCTGTCCTAGAACTCACTCTGTAGACCAGACTGGCCTCAAACTCACAGAGATGCACCTACCTCTGCCTTCCAAATGCTGGGCGAGTGCCACCACTACCCAGCTCAAGCATAACTTCTTAAGACTTCTTTATTTATGGTCTTTCTTGGTCACAAAATTTTATCTCAGTAACAAAAACCCATCCAGTAAAAATATTACTATGGTTATTCTAGTTATTATCTTGCTTCCTCTACTAGATTATAATTTTCTTTGTGGTTTTTTTTTTTTTTTTTTTTTTTTTGGTTTTTTTTTCGAGACAGGGTTTCTCTGTGTAGCTTTGCGCCTTTCCTGGAATTCGCTTTGGAGACCAGGCTGGCCTCGAACTCACAGAGATCCACCTGCCTCTGCCTCCCGAGTGCTGGGATTAAAGGCGTGCGCCACCACCGCCCGGCTTTCTTTGTGTTTTTTAAGTGTTACTGTCTAGCCCAGGCTGGCCTTGACCAAGTGATTCTCCTACCTTCTCCTCTCAAGTGCTGGAATTACAGGTATTATGGCACCACCTCTGACTCTACAATGTACCTTCTAGAGAGGCAGGAGGAATGGCACTTTTCTTTGGGTTATATCCCTTGAACCTCAATTAATACTCTACATACAAAAAGCACCCCAAAAATAATTATTAAATGAGTAAATGAATGAATGAGAAATGATTAGTTAAGCATATCAGCTTCATTAGAATAGCAACGATATTCATTTCAATCATAAATCAATTTTATTTTCATTAATATGTTAGACATCTAATAGTAAAATGTTTGAAAATAAAGTAACTGTTTTTCGTATTTGCAGGACTATCTCAAGCAGGTGCTGGACATTGATCTTCATGCTCAGATCCATTTTGGCAGGGTTTTTATGAAGCCAGGGTATGAAAATAATTTTATCTAATATATCAGGTTATTTGGATTGCTTTAACTAATCAAGTTTTAAATGCTCTGTTTTACACTTTTTATTATGGGGTACCCATTTTAATTAAATGTTTTAGTACTAGAATCCTTTTCATATGTGCAGTTTTAGTTTGAAGTCGATTTCGTCTTATGAATCAATGAGTTTGGTATAAGCAAAGCAAAGCAATTTTCTAACTTTTTCCTTTTTAATTACCGTGTCTAGTGTCTTTCCCTCTCTTTCTCCTGCACCTTCATTCTTTTTAAAAACAGTTTAGCATGAAATTTCTCAAATACACAGGGAAGTAGAAGAACAATGAACCCAAACCACCAGCATGCATTTATATCTGCTTCATCAGTTCCCCAACCTCTTGGTGGGGTGGTGGAGCTAGATTGTTTTAAAGCTAATTCTAGACATCATGTCATTTTCTTAAATCAGAAGAATAAGAACACTGGCCTATATAAATACAATAATAGTCTTATCTAACAAAATAAATAATTTTTCCTATTAGCTAACATCCTAGTCAATATCGAAGTATCCTAAATGTCAAGAGAAAGAGTGCTTTTTAATAATTTTTCTAATTCAGGATTCAAGTAAAGTCCATTCTTTTTGCACTTAGTGATTAAATCTCTAACCTTTTGTTATTACATTTGAGGTCTGTTGAAGTGGGTGATGGTGGTGGTAGAGGGGGTGGTGGTGGTGGTGGTGATCTCGGGGTATTTTGGTTTTGTTTTTTATTTGCATTATTGACTTGTTGGAAAAATTAGATCACTTTTCCTATATAGATAGAACTTGTCTAGTAGATAGAACGATTCTTTCTTGGTAATCTGAACATATTTTCTCTATCTGATACCAGTAGAGACCTAGGTCCAGACTCAATTGCTTCACATAACTACTTCATAAAGGTCTTTAACATTACTTCCCATCCTTTCCAAGAAGAAAATAAAATAACCATACAGGAAGATTTTCACATTTTCTAAAAGCTAATAACTCTCAAGAAAGAGCTGATGGGAGAAGGTCCTATAGACTGTGAATCCTCAAAGAATGCCCAGTATCAGTGTTAATAAACACATTTGGTCTTCAAGCAGGAAAGCTGCCCTCTTAGATCCCCAGTACTCAGTATCTCTGAGTACTTGTTCACACTTCAGGGTGTGGAAGAGTGTGTTGGCATATGTCCAGGTGGCGTGGGAGCTTAACATTGTTGTAAGTAAACTGGGAAATAAAGCACATTTTTGAACCCAGTTCCCCAAAGTCAAATATCAGCCTGCTCTCCCAGCATCCCCAAGGGGATTAGGCTTTGCCTTCATAATTTAACCTCATTTAGTACAAAGTTAGGATTAGTCCTAAAGGGGATAGAAGAATGGTTCAGCCATTAAGGGCACATGCTGTTCTTGCAGAGGACCTTGGGTTCCCAACACCTACATGGCAGCTCACAACCATCTGTAACTCTGGTTCCAGGAGAATCCAACACCTTCTTCTGGCCTCTGCAGACAAAAGGCATGCACATGGTGAATAGACATATATGCAAGCAAAACACTCATACACATAAAATGGAATAAATTTTTTTAAAAAAAGATTAAACCTATGGTGTTCTCCTCAATTTTATAGGATTCTTGGCAGTATATTTCTGTACATGGCTATTGAATGTATCCCCAATCTATGTATTGCTGGAAAACCCCCTTTGTTATTGAAACTGTGAGATTTGGATCATTCTACTAAGAATAACATTTTGGGCCAGCAAGCTGGCTTAGTAGGTAAAAGCACTTGCCAACAAGCCTGATGACCAGAGTTCAGTCACCAGAATCCATGTGTCAGAAGGGAAGAGAAAGAATTGAGTCCTGCAGCTGTCCTCTGACTTGCACATGCAGGCTGGCATGCACATGCACAGGCACAAAACAAGTAAACACCAGCCTTTCATATGCTAGTGTTGAATGCTAAGCTTTCCCTGTCCCTTTGGACAGTGGTGATTTGATTAGAGCACAGAAGACATCCCCGAAGCATGTCAATGTGCTTCTCACTGATCTCAAACATAGATTTGATCTTTGCCTTTGGAGGGAAAGAAACTGATATAACTTGTTTTCAGATGTGGAAAATTATTTGTGATGTCTGTAGTGTTAAACACAGCTTGTAGTGGTGATTTTTGTACTCTTTAGTTCATTGTTTACCACTCTCCACTTCAGGAGTGCTTCAGTTCCTCAGGCTTCTTCTCTAAAATCCTTTGACTTTGGGACCTCAATCAGTATCAGTTCTGTTCAGTCTGATTTCGGAATAACCAGTATGTGTTGGATTCCGACACACTTCCAGCAACAAGGTCCTTGTGATAGTAATGGCTGAGGATAAAATGTTCTGTTGTAAATACGATCTTAAGTGAATACCTTTGGAGAAATTACCTCCTTAGGGTGTAAAAGAACATTTAAAGTGCCCTTATACTTGATATTGTCTTTAAATACAATTATCCATGAGCTGCTTTGCTACAACAGAGTGGCTTGGAAATGTAAGTGGTCTTCCTTTAGCTGGCCAGAATCTTCTACTTACCTAAATGTAAGAAGAACTTGTAAGTAATTTGTTCTACTTGCTGGTGGAACAAAAAGAAACAAAATCAAGTAAGTTAGCTTTGCCCTTTCCACATACAGTACCTTCCAAATATAATTATGTCTTTGGTTTCAAAGACAAAGATGCTCAGGCAACTGGGGAGATGCCTCAGTCAGTAAAGTGCTTGCCACACAGCATGGCGACCTGAGCTGAGATCCTCAGCACCACATCATATGTCAACAGGAATCAGAGGCAGGAGGATGCCAGCCAGTGAGCTACATGTTAGTGAGAGCCTGCCTCAACAACTAGCATAGAAGAAGACATTGCCAACCTCTGGCCTCCATGTGCATACAACACACACACACACACACACACACACACACACACACACACACACACACACACGGAGGGAGGGAGGGAGAGAGAGATTGATCTTAAAAATATAAAGGAAAAAATACTTAGCCAAACATTACCCAGATCTGCCATGGGTCATCTATGGCAAGTGTAGTTGTTCTCAAGAATGTTTCTGGGATCTTATTTTTGTCAAACAGTAATAATCATTGCTGAGTTGCCTATCTATAATCTAATCTTGTTCTAGTACATAGCAAAGAATCAGGGAGTAAGGAGGAAAAAAAAAACAAAAAAACAGAGGTCCCAAAGTCCAAGTACTAACTCTATTATAGATTATTCCATGCTGACTTCTTCCAACATGAACCTTAAAGTTAAAATGACATTGGTTCAAAATCTTTATTTTTACAAAAATCTTAGTAGCTGAGTAAGATTGAACCAAATTTTTAATATCTCTTAGTTTCGGTTTTTCTCATCTACCAGATACTACAACAAATGTCATCTTTTGCTATTGCTGTGAGACTTAAATGAAATAATGAGTGTGATACATAAATGTTACCCTTAAACAACAATAATTGATCCTGTCGTTATTGATGATAGAACTCTACATGTATGGAAGAACAGAAGTGAGAATCACAGGAACATAGCTACTTGAAATTACACTTTATAAAACAACCCAGTGTCCTTATGATCAGAATCTGACATCACTGTATTATAACAGATAATGTAGCTATAACTTATCCAGAGTGCACTGTTACTATATTATAAAAACAGTAATGAGCAAATGAGCTGGGCTTTTTTGTTGGTTTTTGTCTTTTTTGTTTGTTTGTTTATTTTGTTTTGGTTTTGGTTTTTGGTCTTTTGAGACAGGGTTTCACTGTGTAACAGCCCTGGTTGTCCTGGAACTCACTCTGTAGACCAGGCTGGCCTCAGACTCAGAGATCTACCTGCCTCTGCCTCCTGAGTGCTGGGCTTAAAGGTGTGCACCACCAGTGCCTGACTGAATGATCTGTTTTTAAACATCAACCCAAGAAGCCATTGAGATAAAGGCACTTGCTACCAAGGCTGATAACCTAAGTTTGATCCCCAGGACCCATATGGGTGAAGGAGAGAATGCACTCCCACAAGTGGTCTTCTGACCTCCATACATTAGTTGTGACACACAGACTCCCACAGTAAACAAGCTAAAAAAAAATTTAAGATCAACCTATAAAATTGACCCAAAAAATAAAACCATTTAGTGCTTAAAATAACTAATTTTTTACTCTTGGGAAGTTTTAGTGTTCCCTGAGAAGTTTGCATGACTCAGGCTTGATTAATATTTAATAACCAAAATTTTATGTGACAATGTGGGGGGATATCGCTATTCTCAACTGCCTACTCCATACCACGCACCCTTCTTGCATTTCCCATGAAAGCTGATGTCAGAATCTTGAGAAAGATTGCTTTAGCTTTGTTATAACCATGGAGTTTTGTTTATTTATAGTACAAAAGCATCTTTGATAAGTAGGAAGTTTTTTAATAGTTATTGCTGTCATCTCTAAAAGATAAGAGGGTCTGTAGAGACAACTCTGTGGTTAAAAACACTGGCTGCTCTTGCAGGGGACTTGGGTTCAGTTGCCAACACCCACATGGTGGCTCACAGCCATCCATATTTTCAGTTCCAGAGGATCCAATGCCTCCTCGGTCATTGCATGCATGTGGTGCACATACATACACACATACATACATGCATACATACATACATACATACATACATATATACATACATACAGCAAAATACTCATACACAAAAATACAATAGTAGATTTTTAAAAATAAGATCAGAGATAATTCATCTTGAACAAAGATCAGTCTTGTGACAAGAGAACTGTTTTAAATCTCCAACAAAAACACTATCAACATCATTGAGTGGAGGGATGGGGACATTTGAAAACATCAGAATTTGGAATATGTTCCTATGTCACTGAGAATAAGAAAAAAATGTAAGGTATGGAAAATTGGGAAGTTTGAATACTTGAAACACATGGTACTAAAGCAATTGACTTCAGAGTAGAAAGTTTTAAAGGCAAGTCAACAAAAGAGTTTTATAGGGTAAATGAATCACTCAACAAGAAAATCAAAGCACTCAGATCTACCTCTTCCATTACTTAGCAATCACGAACAAGTATACTCTTTTTTGTTTCTAGCTTGCCAACAACATTTGCGACTTTGGATATTGACGGTGTAAGAAAAATTATTTTTGCACTACCAGGTAAGAATCATTAAAATTATTTTCTCCATTTTCTAGAAAAATGACCAAAAAAAATTTAGGCTTCTCAGATGGCCAGTCTCTAATCAACATCACTTGATTTATAATGCGAATAGCCTTACTAATTGGCAAGTCACTTACCTTCTCTGAGGCTAGTTTTTTACCTATAGAACAGGACTAATACCTCGTCAGACCAGAACATTCTTCCAGGATACAGTCCTTAGCCTAAGATGATATCTAAATATAAATGGGCAGTCTAATTCAATCTCACAACTAGAAACACTGTCAAACATGAAACTACTAGATCACATGTAGCAGGTATGACTACACATATTAATTGCAGCACTCAGGTGGCTGAGGCAAGAAGATCTTGAAATCAGGCCAGCCTGGGCTACATAGCAAGACCTTGCTTGTCTGGATGCAAACAAGCACAGCTGTGCTTCTGGTCTTGGGATGATTAGGGCCTGGGGAAAGGAGACAGAGTTGCTGATCCTGGTACACCTCAGCCAAGCGTTCACATGTCACCTGTTTGACATCAGCATCACCACCTAACTCCCACTCAGGCAGAAACTTGAGTGTTCAGACTGTAGAAGAACCAAGGGTCCAGTTTCTAAGAACTTACTAATTCAGTTTTTATTACTTGCAGCCATGCATCTTAAGTCTTTATGAATCCTGAAAATTTTTAAATCGGTTTAGAACTTTATGTATCTACTTGTTATTTTTTAAAACTATCCTTTAATTATACCTGTAATTCCAACTCTAGTGAGGCTGATGCAGGAGGATCACCACAGGTTCAAAGCCAGCCTTGGCTATAAAGACCTAGTCCTAAAAAATAAAATGCTGTAATAGTTCTGCTCAAGACCCTATTTTGTTAACACCAATTCTTCAGAAAAGTAACTACTTATCCTTTCAGACTCACAAATCTCATGGGATTCGGAGATTTATTTGCTTTTTATATTCAGTGAATCTCAAAATAGAATTATGTATAAAAAAGAAGCAGGCAGAAGAATTTCAAGTCTTAACATTTTAAACCCTATCCATAAGCATAAAAATAGACTTGTGTCATACAGAAAATATTAAGACGAAATGTAAGTAAAGCAACCTCAAATATCTGTGGCATACGACTAAACCTAGGACCTTTAATATTCCCTCAGATACTCTGAAAACTATTTTATGAAAAATGAGTTCCTCTTCCTAGCTTCATTTTGTCTGCTAAAAGAGACTGCTTTCTCCATAGATGTGGTTCAACATACAGACTAGACTAGCAGTGATACCAGAACAAACATCATTATTGTGGGAACCCATTTCTGAATATATATGAATGTTTCACATTAACTACAAAATTAAAAGCCCTCTTCAAATCACTGTTTTTATTGGAAACACCCTCCATTGAGCCTGAATGAACCAAAGACAGCAGCAACAACTCATTTATCCTGATCCTACATATGGCAAAGGTGTTCCTCTTACAAGAGTTCTCAATTTCTAGAGTGTATTTCTGCTTTTTTGAAGACCATGTACTTAAAGATTTTCACCAATCTTAACAAGTTATAGCCAAAGTAATAGTTTCACATATCATCATTTTTAACTTTTTAAAATGGCTCAATGCCTTAAGGTACCTGCAACCAAGACTGATAACCTGAGTTCAGTGCCCTGGATACACATGGTGGAGAGAGAGAACCAACTCCAGAAAGCTGTCCTGTGACCTTCACATGTGTGCTATGGCGCACACACACATACACACATAATAAAATAAACAAAAATAAATTAAGTTAAAAATTAAACCTTCTTTGAGCCAGGCAGTGGTAACATATGCCTTTAATTCTAGCACTCAGGAGACAGAGGCAGGCAGATCTCTGTGAGTATGAGGCCAGCATGGTCTACAGAGCGAGTTCCAGGACAGCCAGGACTGTTACACAGAGAAACCCTATCTCAAAATAAATAAATAAATAAATAAATAAAATAAACCTTCTTTATCGAAACTTAGAAATATAGATAAGAATAAAGAAATGTTATCCATTATCATAACTACTACTCAGAAATCATAATTTACTAATTATTAATCCTTCCAGTTATTTTTCTTCTAGGAAACAATACATTTTTAAAACATTGTAGCTGGTGAGATGGCTCAGCAGATAAAGGTGTCTGCTGCCAACACTGATGACCTGATTTCAGTCCCCGGGACCACTTGGTTGAAGGAGAGGACCAGCTCCTGAAACTCGTCCTCTGACCTCCACATTCACACAGGACATGCATGCACATGTGTGCTCACACACACAGTAAATGAAAAATTAAAAATATTTCTAATTATAAAATTAAAGTAGTATAGCAATTTTATAATCATTTGGTAATGTACTTTGAGGTAAGGGAAAAGTAACTAATACTCACTGAGAATCTGCTGTCAAACTAGAGAGATGACTCAGTGGTTAAGAACACTTGCTGCTGCTTTTACAAATGCCTTGGTTTGATTCCCAGCACCCACATTGGGTAGCTAACAACCTTCTGTATGGATCCAGTGACCTCTTCTGGCCTCTGAAGGCACCTACAAATACATGTAGCTTACACACACACACACACACACACACACACACACACACACACACACACATTTAAAAAGAAGAAGAAAAACCCATTGTTGTGTGGAGTGTAGTGATGCAGGCCTTGTAATCCTAGCACTTGGAAAGCTGAAGCAGATGATCACAAGTTCAAAGACAGGTTAGGCTATTTGACAAGACCCTGCAGCAAGGTCAGGGGAATGTCTGCTGTTCTGTTGGATACCTCACTTGTCAGGTGAAGTTATTAATATTGCTTATAACTATCTATAGTTTTTTTAAAAGTTCACCTCAGCCATCTAAACATAAATGGTTTTAACTCTCCAACTAAAAGATGTCCACAAGTTGATTACACTAAAATACAAGGTCCTAGAGCCAGGTATGGTGGTGCACACCTTTAATCCGAGCACTCAGGAGGCACAGGAAGGAGAATATCTTTGAGTTTGAGACCAGCCTGGTCTACAAAGCAAGTTCCAGGGCAGCTAGGGCTGTTACACAGAGAAACCCTGTCTTTAAAACAAACAAACAAAAAAAAAAAAAACAGGAAAAAGAAAAAAAACAAGGTCCTCGTCGAGAGAGGTGTCTCAGCAGTTAAGAGTTCTTGCTGCTCTCACAAAGAACCTGAATTCAGTTCCTAACATCCTTGTTCGGGATCCAGTGCCCTCTTAATGACAGCCTCTGCTACTTACAAGCACACAGCATACACATAAATTGTTTATTGTCTATCTGTAAGAATCACATTTTAATGGAAAAGATACACAGAGATTGAAGGTGAAAGAATAGAGAATAAAACACCAAACAAATTGAAGTCAAAAGCAAACAAGAGAACCTACAGCCTAATGAGATAAAGTAGACTTCAAGCCAAATCAGACAAAGTGAGAAAGGAAATGAGCGCATGTGAATAAAGAGAACAATCTGTTAACACCAAAGCTTGATGCATACAGTTTCATAAAACAAACGGTCCTGGGCATAAAGAGACAAGGGGTCTAGATAGAATAGTAATGACTTAAATACCCAACTCTCTTCAATAGACTGGTCATTCAGACAAAAGTCAGCAAAGAAACTTCAAAGGCAAACTGTACCATAGAGCAAATGGAAGTAGCAGACGTCTACAGACTGTCCAATCCAGTGGTGGAATACACAGTCTTCTCAGCGCTCCATGGAATACTTTCCAAAATAACTCATATTTTAAGTTATAATGCAAGTCTTAACCAACTTTAAAATTAAAATGATTTATTCTTCCATATCATAATAGAATAAAACTTGAAATAAATAGTAAGAGAAACTATACAGACCCAAGAAAATGGAATATAGTATATTCTTAATTGATCAATTGGGTTATTGAAGAAATGCAGTCTCAAAATCTAGTGAAACTGAAAAACATAACTTTTTTTTTTTGTCTGTGTTTTTTTAAGACATGATTTCTCTGTGAAACAGTCCTGGCTGTCCTGGAACTCACAGAAATCCACTTGACTCTTCCTCCCAAGTGCTGGGATTAAAGGCATGCACCACCACCACCCAGTGAAAATGTAACTTTAAAGACCTTTAGAATACAACAAGGGCACCTCTGGGAAGGATATTTATAGATTATAAGTGCTTAAATTAAATATATATTTAATTTAAAGTGGTTTCAAATAAAGATCTTAATGATATTTCTCAAGGCCTTAGGATAAGAACAAGCCAGACCCAAAAGCAAGACTAAAAAAATACAAAGAAAGAATCAACTTTAAAACAAAAAACTGATACTTTGAAAATATAAATATAGTTTTCAAACTCTTAGCCAACTAACCAGAAAAAAGGAAGACCCAAAATAATAAAAATGTGAATGAAAACAGATGCTGGTGAAATTTGGAGGACCACTAAGGAATGGAGTGAAAACTTTCATTCTAGTGACTATCTGACTAGATACAGAAAAGGCCTTTAACAAAGGTCCAGCCACTGTGAGAAAAGCCATAAAGAAACTAATATGAAGGAAAATGTCAACATGTGATAGTTCTATAGCCAACATTATGCTAAAAGGGATAAAACTAAAGTTACATCCTTAAATCCAGAATGAGGCAAGATATCCACTTTTACTCATTATAGCACTTGGAAGTTTTAGCCAGAGCAGAGGCAAGAGAAAGAAAGAAAAGTGATACAAATTGGAAAGAAGGAAATCAAATTACCCTGGTTTACAGATGATATGATCTTATTCTTAAAAGACCCTAAAGGCTCCACCTGAAAACTCTTCGACCTGGTAAATTCAGCAAAGTAGGATACAAAGATCTATACTTTCTATGTATTGTAATGAATGTGCTGGGAAAGAAATCAGAAGGGAAAAAATTCACAATTGTTTCCACAGATAAAAATAAAACAAAAACTAAGAATAAGCCTAGCTAAAACAGTGAAAGACCTCCACAATGAAAACTTTGGAACACCAAAGAAAGAAAATGAAGACACTGGAAGGTAGAAAGACACCCCATATGTAAAGACACCCCAAGTAACATGGGTATTCATTGATTGGCAGATTGTGGAAATACCCATGTTACTTGAAATGACCGACACATTTAATGCAAATTCATCAGAATTTCAATGACATTCTTCATAGAATGTGGGGATGAGAGTCCTAAAATTCAAATGGAAATAGAAACCCCAATACCCAAAGCAATCCTGGAGATAATCACATTATACATGATTTCAAATTATAATACAAAGCCATAGTAAATAAAACAGCCTCATCCTGGCATCAAAAACAGATACACAAAGCTAGGAAAATGGCTTGGCAATTTAAGCACTTGCCACATAATCAAGACCAGAGTTCAGATTCCCAAAGCCTAGTAATTGCCAGATAGATGTGGCAACTTGCCTGTAATTCTATCCTCAGAGGCAGAGACAAGATCTTCAGAGCATGCTAGCCATTGAGACTAGCCATATAACAAGCTCTGGGTTTGATTAAGAAACCCTGTGGGAAAATGACCAAAGAAGATTCCTGATCTCAAACTCAGGCCTACACACATACACATAAATGCACATATGTGCTCCCACAAACATACGAGCATACATACACACACACATGTACTCTATATATACATTAAAAAGAAGACAAAAGAACCCAGACACATAAACCAGTAGACTAGTATAGAGGTTGCAAGAGTAAACCCATAGAGCTACAGCCAACTGACTCTTTTAATATTCTATTGTTTTTAATTATGTATACGCAAGTGTGTCTGTGTGTGCGTACAAACACATGAGTGCAGATGCCCGCAGAGACCAGAAGATCTGACCCCCAGAGCTGGAATTACATACAGGCTCTTGTGAACTGTCTGTCATGGGCGCTCAGAACCAAATTTGGGTCCTCTGGAGAGAAGTATGTGCTCTTAACCACTGAGCCATCTCTTCAGCCCTGACAGTCAACTGAATTTTGACAAAAGGTGCCAAAAACAGATGTTGGAGGAAAAGAGCCTCTTTAACAAACGGTTCTGGAAATTGGGTGTCTACATAGAGAATGAAACTAGGTCTCCGTCCAGGTCAGTACACAACAGATGGAAACCTTAATGGAAGACCCAGAACTTTGAAACTGCTATGGAAAACAGTTCAAGACAGAGGCATAGGCAAGGACCTTGTAAATAGGACTCCAGTAACACAGGAACTAATAACAAGAATTGATATATGGGATTATATGAAATTAAAAGGCAAAAAGACACAACAGAGTAGCATCTGACAGGGGATTGAGATCCTAAATATGTAAATAAATAAAAAATGCCAGAGTAATCAAATCAATAAATGGATGAATGAATTTCACAGACAATTCTCAAAATAAATGGAAGAAAACATTCAGCATCCCTAGCCATCAGAAAATGCAAATTAAAATTGCATTGATACTCCCTTTCACCCCAGTCAGAATGGCTATCATCAAGGAAATAAACAAATATAAGCAAGTACATAAGTTAGCTCAGCTACTGTGAAAATCAGTGGAGGTTCTGAGAGAGAGAGAAAACTAGAAGATGGAAATACCATACAGCCCTGAATCTAAATCAGCATGAAACAGAGATCTCGCTGGGCGGTGGTGGCGCACGCCTTTAATCCCAGCACTCGGGAGGCAGAGCCAGGCAGATCTCTGTGAGTTCGAGGCCAGCCTGGTCTACAAAGTGAGTTCCAGGAAAGGCGCAAAACTACAGAGAAACCCTGTCTCGAAAAACAAAAAAAAAAAAAAAAAAAAAAAAAAAAAGAAAGAAACAGAGATCTCTTCACAGCCATATTCACTATAACAGCACTATTCATGGGAGCCCAGTCTTGAAGTCCATCCACAGGTGAATGGATTCAGAAAATGTGGTATAGATACACAGTGGAATGGATTTGAACACAAAAAATGAAATTACTTCATTTTTAGGAAAATAATAATGTTACATATCACTATGATAAGTAAAATAAGCCTGATTCTGAGAGACAAATATATATTTTCTCTGTGCAGAATCTAGATTTAAAAAATAGCCGGGCGGTGGTGGCGCACGCCTTTAATCCCAGCACTCGGGAGGCAGAGCCAGGTGGATCTCTGTGAGTTCGAGGCCAGTCTGGGCTACCAAGTGAGTTCCAGGAAAGGCGCAAAGCTACACAGAGAAACCCTGTCTCGAAAAACCAAAATAAATAAATAAATAAATAAATAAATAAATAAATAAATAAAAGACTTTAAAGAAGAAGAAAGTTGTTTTTCAAGACGAAGGGGAACAACAGGAATGGGGAGGGAGGGAGAGGAGAGAGCAGTGAGAGGGAGAACATCACATCAAACGCATGCATGAAATGTCACCATCCATCCCACTCTGTGTGCAGTGTAAATATGTGGATAGAGGATAAACAATCTCTTCTTAGCTGCTGCTACAAGAGAATTGAAGGTGTGGTTTAATCAGGTAATTGGATAGTTTGGCCCTTGTCTCTCACTTTGAGGACAGAATTAGCAGCACTTGAGGACAGGAGGAACCTAAAATAAGACAGCTGGTTCCCCACTGCCAATACCAACCCACATCATCGCATACAATCGTATAATAAAAATAGGATTTTAGAACTAGAATGGGCCTGAAGAATCACAGCCTCCTTGCTAAAGAGAAACATGAAGTTTTGTGGATGAGTTTAGTCAGATTCATAAGGGTTGGTGGTGCACAACTGTAATCCCCGCACCTGGAAGGCTGAGTTTACCTTAAATCCCAGGGCAAGACTGTATCAAAACAAAACAACATTTGGTGCTTGTCAAAGTTGTCCGGCTTTGAGTACAGCTTGAGCGTTAGTTAAGGGTACCACATAAACCATAGGAATCTCTTCTTTGTAGTGCTGTGATTTTTTTTTTAACATAGCCACCACCTTCCCTTTGAAGTACAAAGCCTATCTAGATTGATTTCTCCTGGAGAGGAAAGCTACATTTCTGAAATTCTCCAGATAACTTTAAAGAACTTGATGTTCGTCACAGTCTGCTCCAGCTGCTCCGCTGCCGTAGGTGCACCCCAGGATGGACAGTTTAAAGATGGGAATGATTTCCTCACAGTTCTAAGGCCCAGAAATCCAAAACGGAAGGTGGCAGCAGTGCTGGTCTCTGGTGCCTTCTCTCTGCTTGCAGTCAGCTGCCTTCAGAGTCCCACGGCCTTGCCTCTGACATGCGTTCTTGTGCTGCCTCTTCCGCTTTCTACAAGGACACCAGCTCTACTACGTGAGGGCCCAGTCCCACACCCCTAAGCTTTAATCGCCAAGGCCCTGTTCCTCAGATCCACTGAGCATAGAGCTTCCTAGTGGGAGCTGAAGTTGCAGTTCACACCATAATCTTACTCATCTTCAAGTCTTTTACAGCTTGAGTCATTTGGTGCTCTATTTTAAATTTAAAGATGTGTCTGTATAAAGATAAAATTTCATATCTATATTTTATTTGTATCATTTCTATAGTAGAAATGCTTAAAAATAACAAGAATTATATATTAAAATTTTTAAACTTATGAAAATTGAGTTAGTTGGTACTCAGTGTGAGAGTATGTGTGCCTTACACACAAGCAGCCCAGGGTTCAGTGTCTACCTCTCCACCCACAACTGTATACACACATACACACAAACACACACACACACACACACACACACACACACACATACACACACACTCACATACTCACACACACACTAAGGTTAGCAATGGTTTTCAGTACAAGGCTCTCAGGAAAGCAGAAATGGTATCTAAAAGCTGAGTATCAAACCTCTGTGTATTTTCATGGATGACCAAAAGGTTCAGTTCTTACACACTGTAGCATGTGGTTAACTGCCCCTCTGTTCTGTCCTTCTGTTGGATTCAGAGTGGTTCATAAGTAGACTAATGGTCAGTCACTTATATCACGTTCTATCATACCTGACTGTATAGACAGATATAATTATCTGATGAATCTTTATGTGGTGTAATATAAATAACTATTTGGTTGACTTTCAGGAAATCCTGTATCAGCTGTGGTCACCTGCAACCTCTTTGTTGTACCTGCACTGAGAAAGATGCAGGGTATCTTGGATCCTCGGCCAACCATCATCAAAGCCAGGGTAATGTTTCCTAATGACCAGAAACCAAAATGGAAGCTTGATAACAATTACTAACTGCCCAAAATAGATGCCTAGAATTTTATGTTTGTTTTCTCATAAATGTATTAATATTCTTTCCTTTGTGATGGAAAGTAGAAGGGAAGATTTACTTTTATTTCCCTCCAACATAAAGAGAGACAGCTCAGACGTCAAATGTACTGGCTGCTCTACCAGAGGACCTAGGTACAATTCCCAGCACCCACATGGCAGCTCACAACTGTCTGTTACTCCAGTCCCAGGGGATCTGATGCCCTCTTCTGGCCTTCTCCTCAGGCAGTATACATACATGGCATACAGATATACACATAAAAAAAAATAAAGTGTCTTAAAGTTTAAAAGTACTTAAAAGAATCCAGAGAGCAAGTCTTCAAATGTCTAGTGGGTCCTAAGAACGAACCAGCAAACAGAAAACAGCCTGCACCACACACTCGACTGTGTGGAGTAAGAGGTAAGATCGCCTCCCCAGTGAAGTTCAGAGAGGACAGGAGTTAACCTGCTTGTTGGTATGTAGTTGCTCTTCAAAAAATTCAAAAAGCGCAATCAAAGGACTAAAAGACTGGCCTTTCAGGAGGAGAAGCATTAGTCAGGCCGGGCTATATACTACAATAAGAGTCCTTTCTCTACCCACACTATTGATTTAACTTACCACTCAACAATTATACATTTTCTGTATTACTAACAAATGACTTTCTTGACATCGTAACCTATAGAACCAAGCTATTACTTTTCAGAAGTTTTAAAGTAACTTACATATGACACAGTTCTATGCTTAGTTGACCACAAGAATATAAAACATAGAAGAGGTGCTGGAGAGATGGCTCATTGTTTAAGAACAATGGCTGTTTTCCAAAGAACCCAGGTTCGATTCCCAGCACCCACATAGCAGCTCATAACTGCCTGTACCTCCAGTTTCAAGGGATCCAATACCTTCACACAGACAAAACATGAATGTGCATGAAATAAAAAAAATAAAACACAGAAGAGGAAATAGTAATAAAATATTATTCAGGATACATAGTATAAAAACATCTAAGACAACTGGCAAGATAGCTCAGCAGGTAAGGGCACCTGCTGCCAATCCTGAAACCTGAGTTCAATCCCTGGGACCCACATGGTGGAGGGAGAAAACTGACTTCCTAAAAGTTGTCCTCTGACCCCTGTTGTACCCTGTGGCACTTGCGTGTGCACATGGACACATATACATAAAATAAAAACATTTTTTAAAATCTAGACTATCAGCAGTCTTAACACTGGTACTTTTATTACTGGGGATTTGTGAATGAAAGAAGATAAGAGCATCTTGTTTCCCTAAAATATCATTTAAAATCAACTAGCCAGGCATAGTGTCCTGTGTGTCAAATCACCCCTACCCCCAAATGGAGCTTCCTTTCAGTAATCACAAGGAGATACTCTTAGAATTGTTAGCAAAGGAAGAAACAGAGAGATGGAGGGAGAGGAAGGGAGAAAGGAGAACAGGAAGGGAGGCTAGCATGAATGAAAAAGAATTATGGTCAGATCAAAAAGTCAAAGTCCTAACAGACTCACACAGCCAACCCAGTAATGGAGAATTTACTTTTTCACTCTTGCTAAACTGAGGAAGCAGGAAAAATCCACGTTGTTCTAAGAGATACATGGCTTATCCAACACTGCAGAGCTCTTAGGAATTCTTACATTTATTTCATTTTAACGTCTACCAACTCTTCCTTAAAATTGGAGAACACTCACAGAGAGAAACTAAGAGTGAAGCACAGAATAATTTAGGAGAAATAGGAAGCTATGCTACCAGCAAAAAAAAAATATAAGCAATATGAAAAAGCCTCTTCCTTGTATGTTGAAAATAGTTCTCTAAGTGGGTAGGTGAATAATGCCTAGCACATATGAAATCTACAATGATATTGATGGATGGATGAATACTGAATTAGTTTGTTAAATCTACCTCCTTTCCTTTCAATATTGAGATATTACTTCAGTTTCTCATTTCATAGGTCCAGGATCATTATAACCCATAACAATAGACCTTACTTTTTTCTTCTGTCTTTTGCCCCATTATGAACACTGGCTTCTTAGCATTCTTTCTTCTTTACATAGCAGTCAACCTCTGGACTTCTGCATTAAAACAAGATAGAAATGACAAATAGTAGACTGACAAGGACATTATCTGTCCAGGCTCACTATTTCTTTGAAGCTCTGACAACTGATTAGGTGACCAGGTTAAATCTCTTTGCCTCTTTATGCTGTAGTTGTCGTGTGATGTAAAGCTGGACCCTCGCCCAGAATACCACCGGTGTATACTGACTTGGCATCACCAAGAACCACTGCCCTGGGCCCAGAGTACAGGTCAGTCATTCATACCTGCACACCCACAGAGGTCCCTGTGCACTCATTCTGAAAAACAAACCACAATAACAACTCTGTCAATCTTGTCTTTTCTTTGGCGATAATGAAATGAATAATTGTTGTGTACTTCTTTTTTTGAAAGGTTAGATTAAATAAGTTGTTCTTAAACAATGTTTCCTTATTTCATTGAGCCATATTTTCTAGATAAATATTTGAAATATACAAATAGAATTACAGATTTTGATCTATTAGTTCAAGCAGCCCTCTGAACATGACTGGTGGGTAGGAAAGGAGAGCACAGTAGCTGTGTTACCCTGAAATGTGAGAAGAGAGCCAAATGTATAAGATGATCTTTATGGACCCTATTATGCCCTAGATACTGGTAGATTTTAAGGATAAAGTCGTGTCAATAATTCAGAGTTCTAGCTCTGAAGTATAAAGCTCTCAACTTTAAACCTTTTCCCCAAGTTTTCTAGCCATATTTTGCCCAAGTTTTGGTCCAGCTCCACAAAAGACCCTGTGTCAACTGCAAACATCCACTACCAGTGACTCAGTTCAGGAGCCTTCATCATCACAGAGTTCTGCATGCACGGTGGCCACCAGCCGAGTTAGCAAGACCCTAGGCACTGTACCTCAGACCTTTTGCATCTTGCAAGAGTTAAATAAGAGAGTTCATAAAATGTCCATGAAGCACCTAAATGGTAGCTGCTATTATTGCTATCCTTAAGTTTCTAAAAGGATTTATTTTTATACAAATACAAATTTACCCTGAAGTGAGAATTTCTGTGGCATTTTGAATGGCTATAAGGTACTATTTTATTCTTTAAAAAATATCTAATACTTGTTTTTAAAGTTTTGATGAGAAGGTGAAGGATCTAGGACATACATTTCACCTGGAAAGGTACTGGGAAGACTCATCATCTCTCTCCTTGGAGCCCTGCACTCCATTTGCTGGCCTCTCCACATGCACTTCCTGATGCCTGTGCTGCAGTAATGAGAGTATTTCATTCCAGGTAATCAGATGAGCAGCCGTCTGATGAGCATGCGCAGTGCCAATGGATTATTGATGCTACCTCCAAAGACAGAGCAGTACGTGGAACTCCACAAGGGCGAGGTGGTCGATGTCATGGTCATTGGACGGCTATGATGTTCACCAACAGGAGAAAGCTTTGATGCATGTCCACATATCATTGACTGTATCCTGTAATATGCAACGGCACAGCTAGTTTTTCTGATCTGGATAAAAGTTGATCTGTATAGTCAACATCTTGAACTATATTTCAAATGAATTTAAATACCTTTTAAAGAAAAAAACACACCTAAGAATAAATCTTAACAGACAACTCTATTCTGATTATATCAAAGCAAAATTTTCCTTTCTTGCCAATTGCTTTGTGTGTTCAATGCTAGGTCTGATAGCGATAGCTTTTAGTAGACAGCGGTAGGTGCCTGCAGAACTTGTGTTTTCCTCATCTTTAAATACAACTACTTATGCTCTTAATCAAGGCTGTCTGCTTCTTTATACTAGTGTAGGCAACACTTGGATTTCCCTTCTTAGTATGCTTCACAACTGCTTTACAGAGAGCTTTGGCTTGTTCTTTATCATGTATCTCGTGTTTATGTGCACCGTGCCAAAAGAGGAGTGACTGCGTGGAGGCCCCGCCCTGCCGCAAGAACCATCCCTGCCGAGCACCCAGGGAAGTTCTCACCCTAGCAGCCTCATGGCACAGTACTCGCAGGCAGTAACTGGATACCTTTTATTTGAACAAACAAACTGGGGGGAAAATGCTTCCTTAAGTGCTGACAGCCTTTTTAACCAACACATTTAAAATTGTACAGAACAAAAATAAAATCAAAGACTGATCTTGTACAGATATTAGTGTTACCAGCATTCAAGTGGAAATCAAGAGCAAAAACAAAATAATGTTAAACAACTCTGTACCATAACATTTTCTGTAATGATACTAAAACTTAATGAATAAAAAAAAAATCCTTGATCATTATTTAAAAATGTATTGTGCTGGCCTTGTTATTTAGAAAGGGAAGATTGTTACTCTACCCTGACAGAACTCTGCCTCAGTAAAAGAATACTTACCATAGCCTGTGGGAGAATTAACTCTCTCAGTGTGGGAGAGTTAAACTGTGGGCTGATGCAACATGTCTCCTGCTGTGGTGTTTAAGAAAATACTGTCAGTAAGGAAGAGAACTGCCCGTCCTCAGGTTTCCTGGCAATGGCTGGATAAACAGTACACACAGCTAAAGGAAAGATGTTTTAGTACTTAGAAAAAATATTCTTCTCTTACGTACCAACTCTGGATATGTACAGTTCTTTGAAGAGAAGGGAAAAAATAAGTTATGAATCAAAACTTCAGATGAGTGCCTAGAATTTTGGTGTTTTGTTTCTTGAGGCAGGGTCTCACTATATAGCCCTGGTTGTCGTGGAACAAGATTCATCTGCCTCTGCCACCCAAATGATGGGATTGAGGGTGTGTGTCGCCATAGCTGACATTAGACATTTTTAAATCATGTTTGAAAGAAAATAGAAATGTGGCAGTTTGGTGCCCTTTGAAACACTCTCTAGGATGGCTCCCCTTTTTTGTTTTTGGTTGGTTGGTTTGGTTGGGTTTGGTTTTTTGAGACAGGGTTTCTCTGTGTAGCCCTGGCTGGCCTAGAAGTTGCTCTATAGACCAGGCTGGTCTCAAACTCAGAGATCAGCCTGCCTCTGCCTCCAAGTGCTGGATTAAAGGCGTGCACCATCACCGCCTGGCGAGGATGTTTTTTTTTTCCTTTTTCTTCTTTTTTTACTTTTTTTTTTTTTTGCGGGGGGTGGGGGTGGGGTTCCGAGGCAGAGTTTCACTGTGTAGCTTTGGAGCCTGTCCTGGAACTCACTCTGTAGACCAGGCTGGCCTCGAACTCAGAGATCCACCTGCCTCTGCCTCCTGAGTGCTGGGATTAAAGGTGTGCACCACCACTGCCCTGCAGCATGTTTCTTTTAACAAGAACTTCAAGGTATTTTTCAAATGATGTTAATAGGAAGACACTATGTTCTAGAGTATGCTTAGTAAAACATACTAAGAAACAAAGTAACACATCACAATGGCAAAGCTTGTACTTTTAATGACATTTGATATTGGGAGGTTAAAGTGAAATGTTCTATTGTTTTTCTTCTGTATGTACAGCTGAAGAAAAGAGTTAATAGAGGTCCAATGAAAACACAGTTCTTTACATTCATTTAAGAAATAAGCACCTACTATGTGTGGAGGTCCAAAATATACCATACTACTACTCACAGAAATGAATAAAATGAAGTAGCTGCCCCTGTACTCCACCAGGGAGAAAACAAAAGCTGGACATGGAACTATATTGTATCTTTCGTAATGTATGACAGAGTGTGAAACTGACAAATACCTCAATACCGTATTAGTTAAAGAGCTCCCGAGCTCCCTCTTAGTCCCAGTCCTTAGGATTTAGGGCATATGGAGGCCCACATGTGTAGGCCTTAGTAAGCAGGTGCAGCGAGACATTAAGTCGCACTTATTGTATGCCAGGCATTGTTCAAAGCACTTCCTGTTTATTTTCACAACACCCCTGTGATTCCTATTACAGATAGAGAAACCAGGGCAGAAATGTGACCATAGTCACACAGCTAGCACCTAAAAGAACAAGGTGCAAAGCTGCAGCCATGGCTTGAGTCCTATAGAAATGGGTTGCTGAAAGATTGGGGCAAGCAGGGGAGTAGCATGGGTAAGACTGAGAATGTAAGGTTCTTGAATACCAAGTGAAGGCATCTGGATTTACTCTAGGGATAGAACTATTAAAGAATCTTGATCAAGGACGTATGATCAGAGCTGCACATTTAGGATGAATGTTCTGGAAGCTACAAGAAGATCTGGTTAAACTAGAGGGAAGTAGAAGACACAAGCTTGGATGAGATGAGGCTGTGCTGGACAGGGGCTGATAAGGAAAAGGGACAGGTGAACTCCCTGCTGGAGAGAACCGTGGGAAGGATTGATAACTGATACAAGTTCTGGAGAGGAAGCCAGAGAAAGGAGAAAGGAGCCCATGTCTTCACTCAGAAAATACTAGACAACTAATGAGAAAATCAGAAAAATACATTTTGTGGAGGAGCATTTAGAAGTTCTGGTTAGGAGTTCAAAAACGTACAGGCTGGATACAACTTAGGAACTCATTCACATAAATGACCCATGAGGGTGAATTAACAAGCCAAGTGGACAGGGACTCAGGGTATTGGAGGAAGACTGGAATGAAAAATATTTGTAGAAGATAGAGACAGGAACACAACATCTCAACCCAAGACAGAGAATCTCAAGGAGAGAGAAGGAACAAAAATGAAGTCCCAAGAATATGAATGAAATTGAAAAAAAAAGAGAATACTTATTAACTAGGCAGTCACTTATGAGCTGTAAGAGCAGAATTTCAATAGTGACATTGAAAATAACAGTCATTAAAAAACAGAAATTGAATATAAATGCTTTGGAACCTATATGTGAGAAGACATGCTACTTCAAACTAATGACACTGTGGAAGTAAAGAAAAACAGCTAATAAAAATGTAGCAAGGCTGGAGAGATGGCTCAGCGGTTAAGAGCACTGGCTGCTCTTCCAGAGGTCCTGAGTTCAATTCCCAGCAACCACATGGTGGCTCACAACCATCTGTAATGAGATCTGGCGCCCTCTTCTGGCCTGCAGGGATTCCTGCAAGCAGAGCACTGTATACATAATAAATAAATAAATCTTTTAAAAAAAAGACTACAAATTAAAAAAAAAAAATGTAGCAGATTTCTAAATGGAGGAGGGAAATGAAGGAAAGGCTGAGTTTAAGGACCCTAGTAGCCAAATCAAACTGGAGAAGAAAGCCATTTTTCTTTGAGAGTTAGAAAATGAGGAAGACAAGACATTTGAACTGGCTGCAGGGAAGTCTGGAAGTTGTCCAGTAATGAAATGGTTCTACTTTAATCTGCTTAATCTATTGGTCGGTGTCAATCTATTCACATTTATTTTGCCAAAACTATCTAAGAGTTACACATATACATTATATTCAAGTTTTCTTTGTCTTGGTAATCTAAACTTTAGTAAAATACTAGACAATACTTTCAGATTCTTTTTTTTTTTTTTTTTTTTTTTTTTGGTTTTTCGAGACAGGGTTTCTTTGTAGTTTTACGCCTTTCCTGGAACTCACTTTGTAGACCAGGCTGGCCTCGAACTCACAGAGATCCTCCTGCCTCTGCCTCCCGAGTGCTGGGATTAAAGGTGTGCGCTACCACCGCCCGGCTACTTTCAGATTCTTATAGCTGTACAGAAGTTAACCAGACTTGGGGGCTCTGTACTTTGGTTTTGTAAACCATATCACACAACGAAAAATAGAACATAAACAGATTGTTTTCCAAGTAAATGTTAAGTGATGTTGCAAGTGGATTCTTTGGATGACTTCCATTTTTAAAATGCTTGGCTAACAAACAAACTTTGCAGCTCTAACCAGTTACCAACTCGTGATCTTCAAGAAACATTACCAAGGTAAGCATTATCACCCTGAGTTATAGAAAGTAGAGGTGCATGTCCACACAGAATCAAAGCAGACTGCCCTGTTAGTCTATTGATGACCATTCCAGAACTAAACAAAATAACTGTATTCTAATACACTTAGAAGTAAGTGTTAGGTTTCAAACCTGGGACAAATGTCTGAGGTGCCCATTTAACATATCAAAGCAGACCTAGCCAACAGGTCCTTCAGGCTATCCCTCAGTCCCTACCTGTTACAGGGTCCTCCTGGCTAGCATACCCTGCCCTACCCTAAAATCTCCAGTCTAGGGGACTAGGCTACTCTTCCCTATATAATCCAGACATGTTGTACCTTTGGGCCTCCTGGCTATAGCACCTAGTCCCCTGCTATCCCGTCTCCCTTCCCCTCCCCTTCTCCCCGCATGGCACAACTAAGCCTGGTCCTGTCCACTCTGGACTCTCCCAGATGTCCCTGCCTCTACCAACACTCTCTAATCTTTCTCCTCCATACCTCAGAGCAGTCATGTCCTTTCCTTTCCTTTTTACTTCTCTTTTTCATTCAGTAAGTCCTGTACTTGACTCTGGAGAGAATCACATTGCTACAGAGTCCTCTGATAAATTAGCCTAAAGCTGAAAGATTAAAAGGATTGCTCAATTCTGGCCTTTTTCTTTGTTTTTGTTTTGTCCATTTGTTTTGTTGTTTCAAGACGGTTTTTCTGTGTCAAGCTTTGGAGCCTGTCCTGAAACTCGTTCTGTAGACCAGGCTGACCTCGAACTCACTGAGATCCGCCTGCCTCTGTCTCCTGAGTGCTGGGATTAGAGGCCACCACCGCCCATCTCTGTCCATTTGTTTTTAAAACACAGTCTTACTATGTAGCACTGACTGGTTGGGAACTTAGTATTAAACCAGGCTAGCCTCAGGCTTGCAGTAATCCTCCTGCTTCTGCCTCTGAGCACTAGGATTACAAATGTTTGCCAACCACACCTGGCTCATGTATGTAATCTTTTATAATAATCCAGTTCATTTAAGAAACATCAACTAAGTTCATACAAGATGACAGGCACCATGGTAGGCACCAAGGATCTGAGGATTAATGAGACCTTCCTGATAACCAGTAACAAAGGCAAAGGTTGAGACAGGAAAAAAGTATAGATAAGGCCGTGGTTGGTTAAAAGAGTGGGTGTAGTCCTAAATCAGGTTCTGTTGTGCAGTCAAGATGCAGACCTTTGATGAAAGGCAGAAATCAGTTGGTAATACACAAGGAGACATAAGGAGAGCAAAAAACTGGATGTTGGTGACCTGGGAAGGCACAAAAGAAGCAGACATCAGGGCTAATGGCAAGAGTAAACAACCACAAACACTAGGGCTAGGGGTAGCTTCTAGAGAGCTTAAGGGATCAGGTCTAGAAACTCCGACTTTAGACTCTTTCGGGGCTCGGTACTCCAGGGAGAGAACCCCCCATAGCTGCAGATTTAGAGAGTGC